TATATACAAAATCTCACTAAGTTGGTTTTTAGTTATTAAGAAAAGTGTTATGCTTTTTATTTTAAAAAAATGGCCTCTCCACACATACATCTACCCTCCCAAAAACTCAAAACCAAAAACATACTTTACTTACAAAATATGATAACAATTTAAAAAAAACAAACCCAAAGGTTTGTTTAGCCAGAATTCAATGTCAGTTCTAAAGGCCTAATAGAATAGACTGTGATTTCCATGGGAAAACAAAGATTGAAATTAGGTGTAAATTTAAGACAACTCTAACTACAGAAAGAAGAATGAATAAGGACAACAGCTAAACACTGACAAGCTTTTATTCTGATATTATGTAGGTATTATACTCTAGGGGGTATAAGATATCTCACTGTTTGTATTTATAAGAGAATAACTATTTATACATTGTAGTGCACTTTTATGTCTGTTTTAACAAAATGGGCAAAGTATTCAGAGCTAAAAGCATAAGAGCCATATATACATTTGCCTTTTGTTCTTTAGAGTTTGATTTTTCCCTTTACATTTAAAATGTTTGCATTAGCTAGTTCAGAAGACTAGTCAAGCTAGTCTTCTGAAAGACAAACTCATTCTCACTGTGCGTACAGTCCAGTCAAAGACATAAGAGGACAAAAAATCATAAAGGCATAACACCATAAGGTTATCCTCTCCCTGTACCTACCATGGACTCTTGGAGAGGGGGAGCACAGACTCTACACCCTATTCAAAGGCCAGGTGCCATCACATCATATACATCTTTGAGTCTGTATAGCAAGAACAAAGTGGAAACTTGCTGGCTCTCCAAGGGGTTCCTCAGATAAAGTTTCTACCATTCCCTAGTTGAATAGATGTCAGAGTTTGGAAATTCTTCCTGAGGCCCAGTATCAGTTACCCCCTTGCACAATTTCATAATGATATATTCTAGCTCTAGTACATCCTAACCATTTATTTTTCATCAGAAATTATTTTCTTATCCCCCAAATACCAGAAGACAACTATTGTAGTTCATCTTAGCCTTTTTTTGGTTTCAGAGTCACATGAATGTTTAAATTCCATGTACTATGATGCTAAGTTTTTACCTATTTATAGCTTTACATATAACTTCTGCTTCACTTACAGTCTGTTGGGTAATTTTACTGTGGAGGCTGACACTGAAGGAGTGTCCCTCTCCATCTGACCCCCAGAATCACATCACTGTGAAGGCTGCAGCAGTGGTGGTAGTAGTGGCTGCTGTGACATGCCACACCCCACTCTCACCAGCCACATGCCACCATGCAAGCAAGCTATGGTGGTGGCATGCGGCACCCTCCACTATCTTCACCATGCAGACTGAGCTAGAATGCAGCTCCCCCCACCACCACTGTACATGCTATGTAGCCAGTGTATAGACCCCTTGACCTTCCCATCATGCAGCAGTGGGCGAGGGAGCCACTAGGGCCTGCATGCCTCATGTTAACTGCAGGCCACCAGTTGGACAGCCCTGCTGTAGCTAAAATAGACATGCTACTAGGAAAGCACCTCCATAGAAGATGGGAAAGGCGCATTGTTGGGTGGATTGGCTGTTTCTGACTGTTGGGCAATCAAGCATGATTGGCCACCCACCACTAACTTTAAGACATGTCAAGGGAGAGCAGTATCCCCAGGAACCATAGATCTGAGCCCAGCTTCCTGATGCACCTCAAATCTTTATCTCCTGGACCAACAATTTCTCTTCTGGTTATGAGAAGGAAACCAATGCAAAATACTGGTATGTGCTGGTCTCTTGATAGACTGCTTGCACCTGAGAGCAAAACTAATAACTTCTTTAACATTTGCTAAGAAGTACTTTTCCTTTCTTGAAAGGGAACACACTGCAAAGGCTGCTACTGTTTTTGCATGCCAAGGAAAATGTGGGCTGTGGGAAATCTGGAGTGCTACTGTATCTTGGCTCAGCCCTGCTCTGCCACCATCTGCACCTATGTCACTCTGGCCTTGTTGGTAGGAGGAAAGAGAGACTAAAGAACTAGATAGTTCATTACTAAGTCAACTATCAGCAAGAGCTTTGTATCTGTAGTCCAGCCAAAATGAAGAGAATGAAGGTGCTCAACTTGAAGTAGGACTGTAAAAAGTACAAAAGGCACCATGGCATTCAGTCAGTCTTTGAAAACAATGTAAATGCTCCTGTCTGGGGTCTTGTGAACCCAGCATTCATTCCTGCCTGTGGCAGGGGGTCAGGCTAGATGATCTATTCAGGTCCCTCCTGACCCTAGCTACTATGAAACTATGAGGTGGGGTGGTTTCTACTATAGTTTATTCTTTGTGATATTGCAAGGTACAACAGGCAGGTGTGACGTCATCAAACATCCTCCTCCTGCTTGGTTCATAACTTCTATCATTTTTACCCTCCCTACCTTCCC